ACAAGCTTCTCAAGATATAAACAACAACAAACAAACAAACAAACAAAAAAATGACAATGAAAATCACAACAGCAACCACCTCTCCCAAAGTTATGAGACCAATGTCCAAAGTTTTATTGAGGAAAATTTCTGAACAACAATAATGTTATAGTCCTAGTATAGTTTTTAAAAGTACTTTGCTTGTTTATAGTTTAAAAAAGTACTAGATTTGTATTTTCATTAGTTGCTCTAAAAATTGTTAGAAGGTATGAAAAAAAGTGAAAGACTGAGAATTTTTTCCAAAACTTAGGGGAAAAGGAAAAGAATATTTTAAACAATGATGAAGCAAGAGAAAAGCAATTATCACTCAATAGCTGGTGGGTTGAGTACAAGTTGGTATAACTTTGGGAAAGGAAAATTCAGCAATACTTATCAAAATTGAAAATGTATATATCCTTTGACCCAATAATTCTACAGCTAGAAATATGAAGTATTCTTACAAGTAAATGCACAAGAAAACATACACAAAGTTGATCATTGCAGCATTATTTGTAACATTAAAAATCTAAAACAATACCCAAATCTCTACTAATAGATGAGTGATTGGAGCAATCATGATACACTCACATTATGAATTATGCAACTATTACAGAGAAACAAGTTCAGAAAGGGAAATATCTCTAAGAAAAAGTTGTCATGAGACAAATACATAATAGAAAGTGATCCCATTTATGACAAAATGTAAGACTAGCATGAAAGGATATTATTAACAACAATAATAATCAGCATTTATTAAAAGAGTTTACTACAAGCCAGGGCTATTCAAAAGACTTTATGAGAATTGTATCCATCAATCCTTACAAAGACCTCATGAAGCAGTTGCTGCTATTATCCTTGTTTTACAGATTTAAAAAAATGAAGCACAGAGACAATAGTAACTTGTTCAAGGTCTCACAGGCACTAAGTGAAAAAGAGGGTCCTTAAGGTGTCCACTCAACTATAGGGAAGGAGAATAGGGGAATAAAGATAGAACTCTATTTATTTTATATTATTTAATTTTTTTTGATGAGAGCAAGTAGTCATGTGTTACCTAATAAAATATGTTTAATCACTTAAAAGGAAGTGTCATACAAAATAATTCCAGGAATTGTAATATACTTGGAACCTACATGAATCACTTCATCACCTCAGGGAACAAAATCAACAAAATCACATCTCCTTTAGTTTTTGGATCATTAATGGGAGGTCTACTGTCATCCTCTGCAGGCAACCCAAGAATACAGGGCCTTACTCAGGCCAACAGCGCCTAATTCCAGGCAAAGAGAGAGAAAGAACATCACAGTGTTGTAACTTCCTGCTGAACTCTGGCCCCAAAGGTCTGGAGGAATTTTGTCCTTTCCTGCAACCAACAGAATTATAGACAGGCTGGAGTAACTGAAGTATATTATAACGGGCCATTTATTCATGGTGCATTGGTCACGCTGAAGCCATACTCTGGGCTTTGCAGAAAACTGAGATGATTTCCAATTATAGGCATACTCAGGCCAGGCACACATGGCGCACTAAATACAGAGTTGTGATCGTGTGCATTTCTTTGTTTTCAAATTAATGTGTTTCTTTGTATCTTTTTAAATCCTCAGTCCTTGGCACACATGTCCTAGAATTTGTTCCAGGTGTAGAGTACAAATGATAGTTCTTCTAAATACCTTATCTGTGTGACACCGACTATAATAAAGACAAAGGATTTCCAGGCTTAGAGGAGAGAAGAGGGAAATACACAGCCATAGAACCCATAGTGCCCAAAATAAAAATCTACTGATGCTGGGAGAGAATACTAACAAATACAGGCATTTGAGATTTCATTAAAATTCTCCATACCTCTTCATTTTTACAATCCAAAATAAAGACTTCCTTCCTCTAGCTGAGCCCCACCATTTGAATCTATTTTTTCACCTTACTTTTTAAAAACTAATATCATTGTTAATTTTTTCATTGGAATTAGTTTCAGGAGTAAATTGTATCTTTTTAGAAGCATTTGACTCCATACTGATACTTACTATTTAGGTAAGTATAAATAAATAAATAAATAAATAAGTATGTCAGCTTATCGTCAGGTCATGGTGTGTGGAAACAAAGATGTAAAATTTTTTTTAAGAAAAATTAAAATGAAGACTAAAAATGTAGTATTCATTACTTCCAAATAATGAGATAATATAAAAGACTAAACATATAAAAATCTGTCAAGAAAGGAGGAAAAGAATGAAACAGCAAAGAAAACAAATCTATTAAAGAAAATTACAAGTAGAACATGCTAATTATTCCATCTTGAAGATTTATCTTTCAAAACCAAACCCCACGTGATTATTCCAGAAATATTTACTGAGCATCCTCATGGCGCTAGACCTCAGAGATACAGTGGTGGATAGGACAGATAAGGTGAAATAACAGGGAGGCAAAGATATCAGGCAAATCCAAACAAAGTCAGGTGGACAGTATCAGTAACAAAGTAGCAACTGAGGCAAAAATAAGTCAACAAGACAAAAGACACATTTCTAATTGTTAAGAAAAATACAAAGTATAGGTAAAGAATCACACACACGAGAAAACCCAAGTAGCATAGACATAGAATATATTAAACAAAATTCATAGGAGGAAAAGGTCACATTTGTTTGGAGAAAACATGACACACCCATTAGTCTTTCTATTTATCAAGTACACAAAACATTGGTAAGTGTTTCACTTAGGATTCTTTCTTCTACAAATAGTAGAAAAGTGCAACCACACTGATTTCAGATAAAGGGGGATTTATCAGTTCATACAAGGAAAACTCCAGTGGCAGCCTGAGGTCAGGGGTTGACCGTGAACCAGAACATGGTTTCTGACTGTCTCTTTGCCACACTCTTTTCCATGATGAGTCCGTTTTAGACAGCCTCTTCCTTCATGATCTCAAGGTGGCCAATTCCAGATCCTATGGGAAAGGGGAGTCTTCTCTGATAAACACCATGGAACTGAGACTTGCTGGTCCTGATTGGCACATCCTGAAACAATCGTTTATGGCCAGGAGAGTGGAATACACTGGTTGGATCAGGCAGAGGTCACATGCTTCAGGCTTGGAGCTGGGGAAGAGACCAACTTCATCAGGATCTAGACTAAGGGTGGACGTGACAGGGGCTCTGGGACTCTGTTCAATAGCCATTCTTCTGATCTTCCTTCTTCCTGACTGAAACCCCTGTATCCTTGCAAGTGTATCAACATGCCCTGCTTTGAAAACAAAAGCAAAAACAGAACTCAGACATTTCCTCTGCGTTCCTCACAGAGGAGTATGGTCCACCAAACATAAATGGAAGTTTTTGAGTGAGCCTTCAGGAAAATTGTTTCCAAGCTCTGACTCAGCAGTTCTCCTTCTTCCTTCTGTTTTCTGGAATATGTTGGTTTTGGCCATAGAGCCCATCATGAAACTAGAAGGTGATTTTGAAGGTGGAGACTATGTGCTAACATAATGAGGTAGAAAGCTGGATCCTGGACTGTGTATCTCCAGACTTCTTTTACTATGACAATCAAAATTATGAACTTCTCCCTTACTTGAGTCACTGTAATTCTTTTTTTTTTTTCTGTTTTTGTTCTTTTTTGTTGTTGTTGTTGTTGTTTGTTTTTGAAAGACAGAGTCTTCTTCTGTTACTGGCTGGAGTGCAGTGATGCGATCATAGAATACTGAACTTCAAACCCCTGGCCTCAAGCAATCCTCCTGTCCTGGTTTCCCAAAGCACCGGGATTACAAGTGTGAGCCACAGAGCCCAGCCCATTTGTTTCTGATAAGTGTACCTAAATCTAGTAAGATGCAGGGGGAGAACATTGCTCCTTCCAAAGTTGAATCAAATTTCTGGGCAGGCAGTGGTTAGGAAAGGGGAATTGACACAAAAGGAACAGGAGAGAGTTTTTGGAGCAAATTAAGTGTTCTATAGTTTGTTTTAAATGATGGTTGTATGGGTTTTTACAGATGTGAAAATTCATCAAACTGAACACTTAAGATCTAGGTATTTTATTGTGTATTATTAATAATTGTATCTCAATTAAAAACAATGAGGTTCTATAATATCAGTTAGAGAAGGTGGATACTGGGCAGCAGAAACAAACAAAAAATCCTCTAGGAAAATAGAGGAACTTCAAAATGTAATTAATAAGATTGAAATATATAGGCTTTAATTCTTATAATCAGAGAAGCAAAAATGTACATTGTTTTTAAGTTCCCATGAAACATGTACAAAATCAATTACATGTTAGGTCACAAATAAAACCTCAATAATGGAAATTATAAAGATTACATTCTGTAGCCATAGTGTGAAAAGCAGATACATTTAATTACAAAAAAAGAACAAAACAAATACTGTACAATGAAACCACAAGAAAATTTAAATATGAAATTCATCTAAAGCTCTCCTGGGTCAAAGAATAAATTAAGATTGTTTTCTAAATAATCTAAAATTAAAACAGCCAGAGCTCTACATATCAATGAAAACATTACATATTATAATTTTAGCTTAATAGTAAAAGCCAAAGCTATACTTAAAGGGAAACGTATGGCTTCAATTGCTTAAATATCAACTGGTTAAGAAAAAGACAATAAAAATTTAAGAATTTAACTAAAAGTTAGAAAAAAGGACAACATAATAAACCAAATTAAGGCATGAGAGAATTCTTATTAAATTTATAATAATTAATGAATTTGAAAAAAAGAAAAATGGTGGAATTAATTAAAATACTATTTTTTATACCACTGCAAGGACTATATAATGTCAATGATAAAGACGTACACATTTTCTTTTTTTTTTTTTCATTTGAGCAGGATTTTTTTCTTTTTTATTTATTTATTTTGGCATATTATGGGGGTATAAATTTTAAGGTTTCAATAAATGCCCTTTCTCCCCCTCCCCCCAAGACATACACATTTTCTACTTTAGGAGTTGGCAAACTCATCATCACATTAAACATTTTCTGGCTCCTACCTCAACTGTTTACATTACCTTTTCATCTAAAGGGTTGGTGATTTTCCCAAAATGTTACACAATGACTGCATAACTCTTTAATCCATGTCTTCCAAATCTATTTGAAGGTTTTGGCCAAATCAATTGTATTTTCTGCCAGGCACCCTGATATAAAAAAAAGATATATTTACTGTACAGAGTAAACCGAAAGTAAAATTGCACCAATTTCTAGTTTATTCCAGCCCTGATTCCGGGGAAGGACACGCTCCTGGTCTAATGAGCACCTTCCCTCCAGACAGATATAGTTGGAAAAGGCTGTGTCGTAAGTGACCCTACTTGCTCGCCCTGTGTACTTGCCAAAACCCCACCAGGCAAAGAGAAAGAGTTTGATTTTGACAACAGCACATTATCTGAAAAGAAAAGTACGCAAACAGTTAACAGTCTTGTTCTTTACCAGGGCCAGACTGTTCAAAGACCATTCTACCCATCAAAGGAGGACCTGGGCCTGAGAGGGTCCTCTCCCCTGAGGCTGTTACATTAGGAGGGATTGTTCTTTGGGGCCTGTTTTCTCCGGAGCCCTTCCAGGGGAACAGAGATCTAATTAAGAGTGGCAATTACATTGAAGAGAAATCATTATTCTTGACAGCTCTCAGTGAGAAACTGAAAATTATCTCTGATTCATTTCATAGCTTAGATTAAAACTTACTCTGTAGTGCCCTTAAACTCCGTGCTGAACTTAAACGTGTTGGCATAAAAGCATCTCTTTCTAAGGGTGCATAGCTATAGTGAGGCTCTGTGGAGAACTGCCTACACTCATCCTGAAACCTGCTTTTATTTATTTATTTTTTCCTCTTCTTGTCCTTAATATTCACCTTGGGGGGGAGGAGTAGGGAGGGGTCACAAACAGAACTTTAAGAAATTGCCTTTATCACTATTTTAGTCACTAACTTGTTTTTCTTTAGGTAGTCCTCAAAGTATTATCATTTTAATTAGTATTTAGAAAAAAAAAACACACTCACTTTTTAACTTTATGTGGTCCCCACATATTCCTGCATTTAACACTATGTTTTAGCCATTTCAGTCATTTACTCCCAAACCAAGCCCTAAGCTTATTTCGTCTGTGAAATGTCACTCCCGTATCCCGTGCTGTACACTACCCCGTCCCTCAGCTCCGCCAGTCCTCACTTCCTGCGACTCACCTGTCACCCCGACTCACCTGTCACCCCCCGGGGCCTTCCCTCCCTCCCCCACTGTCTCCATCCATGTTTACGCCGCACCCACGACCCTCGGCCTCTGCCCAGCCTCGGTCCATTTTTGCTTATTCCCGGTCAGTCTCCTCTCTGCGGCCCTCGTCACCCCTCACCCCGCGCCCCCAACCCGCCCCGCCCGCCTCGCCCAGGTGAGGGACGCCGCCGCCCCCGCCCCACACCCACGAGTTCAAGCCTAACCCCCACCCCCGTGTGACTCCACTGGGAGACACAGTCCTTGAAGAGGTAGTGAAGGTCAAAGCAAGGTCGCGAGGGCTCCACTGCCCTCCACACAGGACGGGTGTCGTCATCTCACGGAGGAGAGGCCGCGCGCGGGAGGACGGGGAGAGAAAGCCAAGCAGAGAGGGCGCGGGAGAAACTGACAGACACCCCGTCAGCACCTCGAGCTGGGGATCCCATCTTCCAGAACTGAGAGAAAATGAATGCCTGCTACTCAAGCCGCCCGGTCCGCGGTGCTTTGCTGTGGCAGCCCTAGCTGACCAGGACGCCCCCGGCCACGATTTTCCCTTCGCTTCACAGGGAAGATGGAGATCTTCCGTCGGGAACGCATTCCACTTCCGGCCCTCCTGAAGAGATATCGGCGTTCCCGCCCATTCCTCACCTCCTTCCCTCCAAAACCGGATTATTCCAGCGGAAGTTTGGAGGGAAAATGAGAGGGGAACAGACCGGAAGCACATGTATATATATACCTGCGAGGAGGCTCCTTCGCTCGCATCTGTTCCTTCAGGGTTCACCTGAGGAGGAGGGAGAGCGGTGAGCTTCCATACCGAGGCACGGAATTTAAGGAGACACTCACTCTTTACGAGCTGCGAAAGCGCTCGTTTCTTCGCCCGCTCGACTTCGAAAGTGAGTGTCTCTTTAAATGTTGCACCCGAGGTAGCGCGTTCAGCCAGCGCGCCCTGGGCTGAGCGGGCTTCCGTAGTGGCGTCCTGTTCCTGTCAGACCTTCCTCACAGCCTCCCGTGGGCTGCAGCCCTGGGGCCGTGGACCCGCCACGGTTTGGGAGGAACCTCAGGCCCGGTGTCTCTGGCCTCCCTGAGTGTCCGGGAGGCTCTCGTGTTTCCCGCCCCTCAGAGGTGGGCCCTGAGGAAGAGGCCTCTTCCTGCACCCTGAGGAGAGTCTTGTGACTAACATCCGAAGTGTCTCTTCTCTCCCAAACCACTGAAATCGTTGCCGTCTGCGACGATAAACGCGCTTCAAGTCCCTCTCGCCGAGGGACCCGTGGCAGCTCATGCCTCTCCCTTGGGCTGCACGAAATGCCGTTGTTCCCTCATGCCCGTGAGGAGGGCTCCGTCTGCCATCACCCCGCGGCGCGACCGTGGCGTCCGTGCGGCTCCCGCGCGGCGGGCTCGTCACGCCCAGCTTCCCGCGGTCTCCGGGCGGACTCGGGTCGGCGCGTCGGTGGTTGTGGGATAAAGGAGGGACGTCCCCGAAATCTGCGGTCTCTGCAGCCGCAGCTGGACACAGGTGAGACCGGCCGGTACCGCGTCCGGTGTCCCCCTCACGAGGAGCCGAGGCTGCGAGCGGCGTGCTGTCCCCGCCGGGCTCCTCGCGCGGCCCGCGCGCCGGGGGAGACGCGTGCTCCTCAAATGCGAGGCCGTTTTTCTTTGCTTCTCCCTTTCCTTTTCAGATGAATAGCCCTAAACAAAAACAACAACAAAAAACTCCCTCATGAGCACAATGAGCTTTATTTGAACTAAACAACTGGCACTCCTCACAGCTGTATCGTCCTGTTTCTCCTTCTGCATTATTACCTCGTTTTATATCAAGTTCTGTGACTTTTCCTACCACCAGTCTCAAATTTTCTAAGCTGTAACTCTTCTTCTTCTTCTTTTTTTTTTTTGTAATTAAAGTTATGCCATCTTTGCTGAATTCAGAAGGTCCTCTCTGTCTCCAAGGAACTATTGTGAATCTTAAGGATAAACAAGATGCGTCTCCACAGCTTGTCGCCTATGCTGGCCCCAATTCTGGAGCTTACCTTATGGTTTAACAATGACACCGTTTTACCAGAACTCTTAAACTAGCTTGAATTATATCGCGTCATTTGTTGCATATATTGTTGCATTCATCAGGAAAACTATACTTCCATTCCTTATAATGGTATTCTTCCCAGAAAATTTCCTAGGTTTCAATTTTTTTTTGAGCTCCCCTCTAGAAGCGAATTCATATGTCCCATCAATCTCTTTAATTTTTTGTCAAAAAATTAATTTTCATTGATATTTGGGACTTTTTCTTGACAGCCATAATTTCTCAGTCTAATGTTGCTTTTGTTAAATATTCCATGTCCCCCTGGACGATTTCAGGTTGGCCCTGTTCCTATGAGGCAACTGTTTCCAATTCTACTTTGTTGACACCAACCATTTCCTTGATTTCATTTCTTGAAAGTCATTCATAACAATATTGGAGATAAACAGCAGGGTCATCTAATGAGCTACTGTATTTGGCATCCACTGCCTGACCTATTCTTCACGCTGAAAATCTTCTGAAAAACACACTGGCTTAAAGAAGAGGAGTGGAAACTGCTCAGGAATCATCAAAGCAACTCTGCCATAAACAGCTAATTCTGTTCCTTTACTTGAGCTCTGAATAGCCCAGAATGTTAACCTACTTGACATTGTCACCCCAGTCCCAGCCCTTGTAGCAACAGCTCCCTCAGTTCAATTTCTATGTCCTGCATGCATGTCAGTCCTGGCTCTAGTTTCAAACTTTCCATGCAACATCCCGTGAATGTTTTCAAATGTCTACGCTCAGCTTTCCTTCTACTTAATTAATTCTTACCCTCATCAACTCTTGAGCCCTCAACAATGTTCCAGGCCTGCTGTATTCCTTGGGATTCCTTCCTCTCCCCTTCCAAAGCAATAGACGGGTTTCCTCTTGGTCATCTTTCTTCAATCCAATAGCTAGTTCACATTTTGCAGTCTCAGCTATATCCCTGATGTTTCTATCCTCACTACAGATTGTAAGGTAGCAGTACCTCCACCTGGCTGGCCATCAGGGCAGTATAGCTAGTCTTTAAGGATGAGGGAAGAGAGAAAGAGATTGAGAGAAAGAAAGTGAGCAAGAGATAAATATATAGATAGATAGCAATTTTTACCAGGTTTAGCTCTACTTAATTGGTTTTAATTTCCAATATCAAACTTTTCATACTATAGTAGTCTGATCTTTAAATTTGCTTCAATTCTTTAGAAAGATTATCTTCTGAAATAAAATTTTCATGTGAAATGCATGATATATATTTGTGAGCCCTTACATAGCTGGGGATATCTCTCCACTCTCATCAGAAATAAGCTATGAAAGATCTTGGGTGAGTATACTGAAATATACCTACAATTGTCCTATTTTATTTCTAAAATCATCATTACAGTACAGAAGAGGGGCAGCCTAATTTATGTGACTGTGTAAATAACAATTTAATTCTGCCTAGATACTTGTTGGAATTTTACTTTATACTTTAAAAGTATCTTTGTACTTTAAAAATTGTTTCACCTGAAATCAAGAGAACCTTCCTTCCAGCTGAATTGCCTAAAATGTGAACAGTGTTTTTTTTCTTTTTTCTTTCTTTCTAAATTTCTTCTGTATCTTCAGTTATATCCCTGGTTTTATTCCTAAAATTGCTAATTGTGCATTTTTTTAGGCCAGAGGTTTAACTGTTTTATTACTCTTTTCATAGAAACGGCTCTCAATTTATCTTCTTTTAAAAACCTTTTCTATTTTAACGATTTCTTTTTTATCTTGGTCATTTTTTATTTTCTACTTTCTTTGGGTATTAGTGCCTGTTCTTTTTCCTTCTATTCTCTTGAGATGAATTCTTATTCATTTTCTTTAGTTCATAAAACATGTCTCCTATTTATTGTCTTTGTGTAGTCTTTACCTTCCACCTATTCTAGCATCTGTCTCCTTTAGAAATGACCTTCCATGGGTTGGCTCTGTTTTGCTGTCATTTGTATTTAGAACTTTCTATCTTGTGGTTTCCCATCTTAAATATGAGAGTTTCCCACTGAAATCTGAGAGTTACAAACTTTTTTCTACTTTATTCATTTAATTATTCCCTGTATTATCTCAGTCTTTTACTGCCTCCAACAATTATTTTAATGTAGAGGCCATTGTGGTTTGTGTTCATCTTCACCCCACCAACTTATTCATGGTTTTTTTTTTTCCCTCATCTTGTTATCTTTTCATTTCTGAAAATCTCTGTCTCCTTAAATTCTTTTTCACAATCTCAGAAGTTTCTGAAATTCTTCTTTCGGCTATTTCAGACTAGCACTGTTCCTCCACATCTTCTAAATGTGTTTTCCTTTTCCTTGTTCTTCTATATATTTTCCTTTTCCTTGTTCTGCTAGATATTTTCACCAGTCCCTTGTCGATTTCATCCTCTTTGTTTATCCACAGATATTAAGATAATTTTGTTCTCAGACTTAAAAACAGTCTATTAACAGACTATGTCAGTGGATTTCCATTCGTCCCTCTCTGTCCACATGTGCGCATGACCTTTTAAGTCCTCATTTCCAACCATTCTAATTTCTGCTTTCTGGGAGATCCTCAGCTGGTGTGTTGCTCATGAAGGTGGTTAGGAGTATTTGCAATTTTGAACCAAGGAAATCATAAAAATCCATGATTCCTATATAAATTTCTGCTGGCAGGTTCCCATTGTCAGCCCTCTCCTACAACAATTTATTTGAAAGAAATTGTCCTCCTAGTCTATGCAGAGCTTGTTTTCCTTGCTGCCTAATTGTTTGCTGGGATGTTGGAAAATAGCCACTGTGAGAAGGCAGGTCCTGTAGAACAGAGGTCTGATTGCCTCACAGATGAGCACCAATGAGTGATATAGTTTTGTTTTGTTTCTTTTTGGTATAATTCTTGGTTTTGTGGAAGGTAAATTGAGTTTATTTCTTTTTAAAACATACATTTTCAGTTTAAAGAAACAAAAGCGAATTGTACCATGAGAGTAAAGATAGCAAAGTGACTCAGTTCAACTCTATGTGCTTTATTGTTGGTGCTCAGTTGTCCCAGATTCTCACAAGAAGCCCTGAACGGCTGCTCTGGGGACAGCCACCTGAAGGCATTCTGCACTGCAGTCCTTGCTGTGTCCTCGTACGCTGCCTCTTCTATGTACATTCTGCTCTGTTTCTGATTCCTATCTATGAATACTGGATCTTTCATCTCAAATACCCATACCTCTTATTTCTTTTCTCATTATTTTCATTTCTTTACTTTTTTCTCCTGAGTTCTTAGAGAATTTAATGATGGTATGATGAAATTTATTGATTGATTTTTCTTTTTTTTTTGGATTTCACAAAAAAGCAGATTGTGTTTAATGTTTATGGCAAGTATTAAAGCGTGTCATGCTTATTTTGACTCTCTTAGGTACTTGTTTATCCCACATAGTGCTGCCAGGGCTGGAAATCGTGGTACCAAACTCCAATCCCAAACACAGCAATACAGTTTGACAATCACAGTGCTACATCCCAGGGGGTATAGTCACATTTTCAAATATGGGTATGTGACTTTGTGATTTTTTTTCCAGGAAAATCAGAATTTTCCCTGGGATAGTTTTGGGAGAATTTGAGGTTTTTCTTTTTCTTTAGAATTATGACCTAAAAGCAAATAGTCCTAGTGCTGCTAATGACTATCTTGTCAAGTACAACTTTGAAAGTCTGTATACAGTAAGGAAGACAGGAGAGTTGCAGAATAGATGAAGCTGATCATAGCCTTTGAGCTCCAGATCCAAGCCACGTTGAAAGCTAAGTTTATTCCCCAGGAATATCCAGTTATATGAACCAAAAAATTCTCCAGGTTAATCTTTTTTTTTTTTTTTTTTTTTTGAGGCAGAGTCTCACTCTGTCACCTAGACTCGAGTGCTGTGGCATCACCCTAGCTCACAGCAACCTCAAACTCCTGGGCTCAAGTGATTCTCCTGCCTCAGCCTCCTGAGTAGCTGGGACTGCAGGAACACACCACCACACCCAGCTAATTTTTCTATTTTTAGTAGAAATGGCATCTCACTCTTGCTCAGGCTGGTCTCTAACTCCTGAGCTCAAGCCATCCTCCCGAGTGCTAGGATTACAGGTGTGAGCCACCATGCCCCACCTCACTAGGTTAATCTATTCTATGCCATGAAACAAAGAACACTAATTATTTCATCCAATTTGCCATTACTGCCTATTATATTCTTTAATTAAGTGATGCATTTTGCATTTCCAATGTGAGCACTGTACTGATCCTATATGTTTCCTTTTCCATGATTCTATATTGTAGTTTCATCAATGAAATTTCATAAATAAAATGAGAGATGTTCAAGCATTTTCTTTCAGCTTATATTCTTCCAAAAAAGAAAATATTTCACTGAGATATAAATGGTAATTTGCTCTATTATTGAATCTCTTCAAAGTTCTGTTCATAAACATGATTTGATTTTGTTCATTTAAAAAATAATAAATATTATGTATTGAGGTTAATACAGTTTTCCCCCACAGATTGTATGTACACATTTTT